ACAACGACAAACAAAGGAAATCTTCACATTTTTTTCGATTTTCTCAGAAACTAAACGTGATAGAAAGAAACAAATTGAATATTCTTAATCTATGGAAAATTTTCTACAAGATATCTAAAACACAAAAAAATAATTTATAAGGGAAAATGGGCAAGAAGGGGTACTAAATCATTTTTTTCGAGAATTTTTTACCGTACGAGGCTAGCGGTAGAAGTGACTCCCATTCAGGGCACCGTACAAGGGCAGCGGCAGATTTGACTCGTGTTCAGGGTGCCGTATGAGACTAGCGAAAGAAGTAACTCCCATTAGGAAAACATAGGTAAGAAATATTTTTTAAACTGATAGCGCAAGCGACCAGCCAATCAAACATTATGAAAGTTTGAAAAATTGTCAATAAGAAAAGACAAGAAAATAATTAAAATACGGATTGTAAAGGTTTTGAAATCGTGTCTAAAAAGGCAAAAAAGTGTACATATTTATTTCTTGAGAGTATTCTTCGGTTGTGAAAAAAGAGATACGGAGGAGCAGATTGAAACGCGTCTTTGCAACACACGGTGGAACGTGAAAAAAAAACTACTTAAAAACTACTAATGTACGACGCAGAAATTAAAACGAAAAATATAATTGAATTATAAACTTACCAATGCAGAACTCATCGGACTCCTAGGCACAGCAAATACTGTAAATAAGAAAGAAAACATAAGTTAAAATATAAATATTATTTAGTAATATTATGTTCACACAGCGGGGAGAAAAAAAACATATGTGCTGTATGATTACAAGTTACTTACATCAGCACGATGGGTCATCCTAATGATATATAAATCAATATGGGGGCGATATTTATTTGATTCACCTAGCAACTGTTGTGAGTTCCAATATACACTTTCTGCGCGATCACAAACCAGTCGGAAGATAAACGCGCAAATGGTAAATAACATAACTATAGTGATTACAATTAAATAGTCGAGTGATAATTAAATATAATACAAACAATACGAGTCGCGTTGAATACGTCTCGATCAACCCGAGACCGGCACGAAACTGGCCGCCAACTGCGCAAGCAACGACGCGACAGTTAAGATAAGAAATCAAGAGGTGCGCGAAGCCGGCGCGTCGATGGCACCTTGAGCGCGAATTGCATTTGGCACGAAACCTGCAATCAAAACAAAAATATGATGCAGCAAGATGAGGCGTGAAGGGATGGCAACGACGACACACGGCAATGCGATAAGCAAGTGTGAATTGTGTTCAAAACAAACATTATTCTCGTGTCGAATGCTCACGCTTGCCGATAAATATAGAAATAAACCATACAAGTTTATTTTACAATTTTTAGTCCATGCTATTGCTATCTATAAATGATAAATTTAAATTATTAAAAGTAATAAAAAATTAAAATTCTGATTTCTTATGCTGACAGATTGCCAAATTTTACTTTAAATAATTGAGTGATATTTAATTTGAATATGCATCGTTTCTTGTTTACCAGGTAACACATTAGTCCGTAATCATCTGCTGATAATAAAAATGTATTAGAATTAATATAAAATTGTTAGTTATATTCATGAAAGAATTGAAGAATATTTGTGTAAATTAACGATGCTACTATAATAAACAGCAACGGTGTGTTATGATTCCACGAAATAAAGATTCGATACCTGCAGGTAAACAAACTTATCTCTTGCGCGAAATCGCGTGAGCCACACCGACACGGTGTGCACTCACTACCACCAACAAGCAATATTTAATGCAAAACCGTACATCGTAGCGCCATCTAACCTTTGAAAATATTTATCAAATTAAAAATATTGCAATATTCAAGACCCCGCGTTCGTATTATATTAAAAAAATACAATTCCCAGCGCAACCAGTACTACAGCGCACACACACAACTTTCAATAAAACTCGCGTTACGGAATTTTCTATTAATTGATAATAAAATTCTATACAGCAAGATACAAAATTAAATTCCCCATGTAGGAAAATTATTTTGAACTCATTGTAACATCGCGTTCGTGTGTTATACTAAAAAAACTACAATTCCTAGCGCAACGAGTATTACGGCGCACAAACACAACTTTCAATATAACTTGAGTTACGGAATTTTCCCGCAATAAATTTCTACACAGGAAGATACAGGATTGAATTCCTCATCTAGAAAAACTATTTCGAAATAAATGTAACACCGCGTTCGTGTGTTATAACAAAAAAACTATAATTCCTAGCGCAACACGAGTAATACGGCGTACACACACAACTTTCCTTATAACTTGCGTTACGGAATTTTCTGGCAATAACTTTCAATGCACGGAGATACAGAATTAAATTCTGCATCTGGGAAAATTAATTCGAACTAATTGCAGGACCGCGTTCGCGTGTTATAACAAAAAAACTACAATTCCTAGCGCAACGAGTACTACGGCGCAGACAAACAACTGTCAAAATATCTCGCGTTACGAAATTTTCTGGCAATAAATTTCAATGCAGGGAGAATCAAAATTAAATTTTACATCTGAAAAAATCATTTCTCACTAATTGTAACACCGCGGTCGCGTGTTATAACAGAAAAACTACAATTCCTAGCGCAACGAGTACTACGGCGCAAACACACAACTTTCATTATAACTCGCGTTGCGGAATTTTCTAGCAATAAATTTCTATGCAGGGAGATACAGAATTAAATTCTTCATCTAAGAAAATTATTCCGAAATAAATGTAACACCGCGTTCGTGTGTTACGAGTATACCAAAAAACTGCGCAAGGCCGGCGCATCGATTGCACGCGACTTTGTGCGCGAATTGCATTTGGCACCTGAGATCAAAACTAAAGTAAGATGCAGTAACATATGGTGTGAGGTGCTGGCAACGACGACACACGGAATTGGGATAAGAAAGTATATATTGAGTTCAGACAAACACAATTCATGTGTCGAAGGTTCACGCTTGCTGATAAATATAAAAATAAACAATACAAGTTTATTTTACATTTTTTAGTCCATGCTATTGCCATCTATGAATGATACAGTAATTTCGAAATTTAGATTAATAAAGGTAATTAAATTAAAATTCGATTTGAGTAATTCTGATTTCTTATGCTGACAAATTGCCAGATTTTACATTAAATATTTAAGTGATATTTAATTTGAACATGCATCGTTTCTCGTTTACCAGATAACACATTAGTCCGTAATCATCTGCTGATAATAAAAATGTATTAGAATTAATATAAAATTGTTAGTTATATTCATGAAAGAATCGAAGAATATTTGCTTAAATTTACGATGCTAATATAATATACAGCAACGGTGTGTTTTGATTCCACGAAATAAAGATTCGATACCTGCAGGCTGCAGGTAAACAAACTTATCTCTTGCGCCAAATCGCGTGATCGCACACGGACACGGTGTGCACTCACTACCACCAACAAGCAATATTTAATGCAAAACCGTACATCGTAGCGCCATCTAACCTTTGAAAATATTTATCAACTTAAAAATATTGCAATAATCAAGAAACCGCGTTCGCGTGTTATACTAAAAAATTACAATTCCTAGCGCAACGAGTACTACGGCGCACACACCCACCTTTCAATATAACTCGCGTTACGGAATTTCCTCGCTATAAATTTCTATACAGGGAGGTACAGAATTAAATTCCCCATCTTGGAAAATTATTTCGAAATAATTGTAACACCGCGTTCGCGTGTTATACTAAAAAAATACAATTCCAAGCGCAACGAGTACTACGGCGCAAACACAACTATCAACATAACTCAAGTTGCGGAATTTCCTTGATATAAATTTCAATACCGGGAGATACAGGCAGGGCCGTCGAAAGCCAGCGCGGGCCCCGGCAATTGTTAATTTTTTGCTAATTTTTTTGTGTTTGTGATTTAGGGGCGATCAGCCGGGCCCCGGGGAAATTATCCCAGTTGACCCCCCTCTCATCGGCCCTACTGGTAGGTAGCGCGTGATAAATAGAAAACTTGTTTATAAACAGCAAATTGAATTGTAAATTTGACCGAAAAATATAATTGAATTATAAACTTACCAGTGTACAGCTTATCGGACTGCCAGGCACAACGATTTCTGTAACTAAACGAAAACATAAATTAAAACTACAATATTTCATACAATGGAATTATGTTATAATTAACAATCAACACAAAATAAACAATATGTGTAGTTTAGTTAAGAAATTACTCACACGAGCCAGATGGATCTTTCTTAATGATGAGAATCAACATGGGGGCGATAAATATCCGATTAAGTTAGCAACCAACACCAAACACAACGCCGAGTGAAGAATATTATCAAATCCACTACCACGTGATTTTTATTATACATAACTTTAGAATATTGAAGTCCGAATAAACGATATAAGTCTCTCAAAACACGACTGGATTATCCAGCGACCGGCACGAAACTGGCTGCATTCCACAGATAGTGCATGCTGAAACAGCGAAAACAACGACGGGGCAGTACCTATATGATAAGAAAGCAAGAGGTGCGCAAAAACGTCGCGTCGAAGGCATATTACCTGTGATCTAAACTAAACTAGACTTCGCTGCATGCAGCAAGTTGATGCGGCGCTACTAGACAGCGCGCGGGACACATGCGTTAAAAACGTTGTTTACACCGAATCGCAGATAACAGCATTGTATACAAAACTATTCTCGTGCCCACGTTTGTCGATAAATATGAGAATAAGCCGTATAAATCGATTTTATGATTTTTAGTGCATCCTAGTGCCATCTAGTCCCACAATTTAAACTATTATAATCAATAATGTTTCCACGTGTTTTCACTTTTGTATGCAATACATATTGTCAATTAACATGTAGAGCGTCTCTTAAACTATAACATGACTTTTAGAAACGCACAAAATGTGTATTAGTCCACAAGATACAGGTTGTTTTCTAAGCCAACTTTCTGAAATGGAAAAATAATGTAATAAATAAATATTTCATATTTCTGTGCGGATCAAAGAAAATATTGCTTTGTTTTTCAATTTTACAATGTCCACAACGCAACAAATTACTTTATTACTTACAACTTAATCAATCAATTCATAACAAATCATCTCCTACTTTTGCAGTCTCTTCCTTGCTTTCATCCCCTTCTTCGATCCTGTCTTTGCGGCGCCGATAATATTTTTAAACTGCCCCGCATGCTTCAACTTCTTCCTCTTATTCAACGCGTTCCTTTGCAGTGGCAAATATGCGTACGGATCCACCTTGCCTTTCTTTTTCATATCCCCATCAGCCTTCTTCGCTTTGTAATCGCTGCCGAATGAAGCAAAACTCTTCACACTTCCCGCTCTACTCTTACTTGTCCCCGCACCCATATCACCAGTAGGTCTATGAATTCCCGATCCGCCAGGACGGTACTTCCCATTATAACTACTCGCCACACTTGAGGCGGCGTCGCTCCTCTTTCGTTTCCTATCGCGCATTATTTCAGTCTCCGCCTTGCTAAGATTATCATCATCTGAATCGGAATCACTTGCGGCAAACTTGTTCTTTTTTGTTCTACCACCATCATCAGAATCGGAGCCATCTGCATCAGCAATTATCAACCTACCATCTGGAGCTGTCTTAAAACCTCTATCCTTCTTCGCTTCTTTTTGTTCAATCATTTGCAACGCAGAAGCCTGTGAAGGCCTGGATGTGGTAATTTTACTGATCACACTAGGATCCTTAAAGTCCACAATGTCATCCGGATCCTCTTCAATGAATGCATTATATTTCCGTTGCTTCTTCCCTCCCTTAACCTCCGGCTGCGCCGTGTCATCGAAATCATCATCGGAATCAGCGAGAATATCCTCAACAGTCTTCGCTCTTGCTTTGACCATAAACTCCTCCTCCATATCGACTTCATTTTCTTGATCTTCTTTCTCTTGCTCTTTTTGTCGCTTCTGCCTATTCTGCAATTTCCGCAAGTTGCGTAATCTTTTATACATCACAGTATCATTCGGTGGAATATGCGGTGAAATAGCATCACAACCAAACTTCCTAACCAATCTGCTCAACATATTTCTAACTTTCATTCGGAAATGTCTTTGACAATCCTCTGTCATACCACATAAACTCTTAACGATATTCCCTAGCTGTGAAGCCACCTGTGGCGTAGGTAAACTAGTCATAAACACTTTCAGGAAACTTAAACAGGAACCCACCACTTCCCTGGTGGGTACCTTCATCAAAAGCAAGACATTTTCCAGAATCAATTCGATATTACTTTGACCCAATGAGCCGGTAAAGTTATGCAACACCGATGACACAGCAAGAAGGGTAGCGCTCATCAACTCCGTGCTCCCAGCTAAACCTCCGATCAACATCGTGACATACTGTGGCATCTGATCGTGCTTCAGTAAAATATCTCCGATTGTGTTGAGGATTTCATACGAAATCAACCGGCAGCGTTGATTTTGATCCTTGCAACCCAACACAGCTTCCGGTATTGTCGACTTCAACAATATCGAATCCTGATCCAACTGTGGTTGCGCTTTGATAAGATAATTCAGACATCTTAACCTTGCACCTTTACTACTTACAGCCGAAGTGTTCAACGCTTTCATAAGTAGCTTCTGTACGAACTTACGATGTTTCTTCAAAAAGTTTTCACATCCCGCAGTGGAACTGCTGCAGATTTCCTCCAATAATCTGTACGATTTCTTCTGTTCCTTGTGGCTTTTAATCTCCGGCAGATTTTTGATGGACATATCGAATATTTTCTCGATATTCTCACAATTCTGATATGGGAGCATCGCCTTAATCAAATCCATAATTGATTCTTTGAAAAACAAATCATCACCTTCGGGTGGATGTGAGTTTAGGTGTTCAACTGATCAATGACATTCGTAAAGAGCGACTCGGTGTATTCAAGCCTTGTGATTGGTAGAAATACTTTGATTGTATCCATGGCAGCCAATCGTTGACCCTCTTCATGTGACCCAACTGGTTTCGATGTGTAAACATTAAACAAAATCGGCAAGAAATTTTTATCGAATCTTGCAATCTCGTGAACATCCTTTTCGTCTTCGGATGCCTGGGCGGCGGTGATAAGTTTCCTCAAACTTGCCATTACAGCCAAACGAAGTTCTTTACGATCCGAAATCGCCATGCCTAGAATTTTAGCAATACCTTTGAAACCGGTTTGGATATCGGTCGCTTGATTACAGAAGCTTGGCAAAAGATTCCACAGCTGAAGATGGAGTAACTCAGCGCTGTGTGCGCCAATTCCATCGTTACGTTCGCCCAATTCGACGGATTTCTTTTGACTGTGAATCGCCAGTGGTAGGATGCCGCGCACCCAAAACTCAAGCGTGGAGCGTTGTACATTCTCTTTGAGAACCGGCAGGAGCCACGATCGGTCGAGATTCAGTTCACCCGAATCTTTACGCAGTGAAATTACGGATAATACCGTTTCGGGTCCCATAGATTTGACAGCTGCGCCGACGGTGCGTTCCAGTTCATTGTTGTAGCTGAATTTATATGAATCACGTAATTCGGAAAGGGTTTTTAATGTGTTGAGAAGTTGTTTCGGGCAGGATGCGCCACAAACCTAATAAAAATTTTATTATTTTCTAAGTTGAATACGTAATCCATGGTTTATAAAATGTATTTATTAAAATAATTTTGTGATTTTCTTGGATTTTACAATTTTGTATGCGAGTTTTACATGTTTTACAGAGTTTCTGATGATGCCCACAGGGCGAAACATGTAAAACTCGCATACAAAATTGTAAAATTCAAGAAAATCACAAAATTATTTTAATAAATACATTTTATAATAAAAATTATAATAAATTTTATTAATTTATATTTTGACTGAAATATTAATACATACCTCAAACATTACCGAAGTAACATGTAAAACCTGCGGCCATGCGTGATTGTATTGATACCCAAGTCCCAATTCAACCGATTGAATACATTTAGCGAGTTTTGTATCGACTGTGGCTTGTAGTACACTTTGATTGGCGCAGATTTGACTAATGGCGTCGCGAAACAGCACTTCCAGCGCATGTGTCGCTCCCATTACGATTTCAGCTTTCTGCGAGAGCCACAACTGCGTCATTGTGTTGAATATCACTGGGAGTGCATTGGCACATTGATGTAAATCAACACTAAAATAAAATATTTGCAAAAAATTAATTATAAACCAAATCAATATTAACTATTATAAACTTTTGCGCAAAAATACCTACTCAGCTAGATGCACATGAGCTTGCTTCATAACAGCTAACCATGCTAAAGTAGGCTGAGTATCCACCGCCGACGGTTGATAATCATACATCGCCGCAATTATCTGCCCGTTCAGTTTAGCGCTAGCGACTGCTTTCTGCGCCGAGAATAACGCGTGCAACACCTGCATTCCACAAGATGTCACAATTGGATAGTTGAGTGACATCAATCGCAGTACGGTCTCGCAGATTTGTTTCACATGCGTTTTATTAAAGTAGGCGATAGTATCCTTCAACAGTCCAAGTGTGTGCAGAATCGTCGTTTGGCCAGCTTGAATCGATGATACCAAAACGGTGCTGTTTGTATTGCTGCCCAGGCAGGACTCTAGCGTCTCCTTACAAAATGCTGCAACCAAATCGGCAGCGGGGGAGTAGTGCTGCTCGTTTTGGAAGATGTCAGCAGAGAGAATTGAGGCAACTGAGTGTTGAGCTGCTTTCCTCCACTGGAAATTATTAATAATTATTAATTAACTGAATATGCTTACTTAAATTAATATTATTTACCTTTGGTTTGCTGTGAATACAAAAAGGATTCAAAATAGCCTTGAAAATCTGTTGTGTTTGCAGATTCTGCCACACTACAAGCTCCTGCTGCTTCAATAGCACAGCTAAAACTCCCATAATGCTTTTTACTATTACATTATTATCCTTAGATCCAAACTCAACCAAAACTAATAAAAGTTTTGAAGTGACTGAGTCATAACTCTGCCTCAAAACACCAACAGGCACTGTTTTGATGCCCATATTCAACAGTGATAACACTGCAGTAATCTGATCTTCATTCATCTCTTCAGCATCCATGATCTGCTCCAAAGTGGTGACCAAAGCACAGTAATATTCTGTAGGTGATTCAGTACCATTGTTGCTCTTGATAACTTCTGTTATTGCAGCCAGGATGGCTAACATTTCTTTGTGCAGCGCGGAATCAGAACGAAACACGTTCAGAAAACGATTGAAACTCATATTTGTGCAGTCTGTCCAGTCAGAGGCAAATGTTTTCATTGTTTGGTATGAAGTTGCAGAGCTGTATTGTGACTCTGATTCAGCATCATCCATTTGCATTGGAGTTTGTGGAATTTTCGTGGAGGAATATGATTGCTGAGCATCGTGCTTTTGTAGAGCGGTTGTTGTTAAATTAGATGAGCCTATTGTCAGTATTGTAAGTTAAAATCAATTTGAAAATTATGATTGTACCACATTTCAGGTCTTTTTTGAAGGTTAACTTACCTAGATTCGCTTGAAAAAGCGTGATTTTGCTTGACTGCGGTAGGTTTTCGTCTGTGGATTCGAACTGGAGCTTTGTCCTTTGGCCCAACGCTTGCCCTTTGTCTGTCCTTTGAGTTTTGTGCGAAATTTTCCCATTTTTCTGCAGTTTGTTGTCTACACGTGCTAATGATAATAGAAATAAACGACTTGTTAGTTTCTGTAGCTGCCACTAGTGGCGTTGAATACAAGTACAAATTGAATTTATTTTCGACAATAAATTGATTACTTATAATAATCATACTTTATAAATAAAATAAAATTTAATAATTTAAATTATTACTTATAATATTACCTAATAAAAACGTGTAATAGTTTATCAACAATAATTTCTTTCCGCGTTAAAGCGATACTAGCGCTAACTAACGACAAAATAAAAAACTAAAACTCATAAACTTTTCTTTTCACAAGTTTTGTTTGAAAACGTCTTTTAAAATTAAATCGCACACGATTAAAACTAATAAATTAAAAGATAATATTAAAATCTAACTTATCTTTCATTAATGTTTGATTTAAACCTAAAATTTCTAATGTAACCAGTCAAATTGACATTTCTAATCAAAACCAAAAAAGAATCATAAAACATTCATTTGCAATGTTAATTTTATTCCCTTTCCTTTTCCTAAGTTCAATGGTGGGCGCAGCAGTGTACGCTGTAATGTACCCTTTCGATGTAATCAAAACGCAGCTACAAATGCGCAACGAATTCATAAAAGAACGACAAAAATGGCGGCTGAAACACAGACGAATGTACCTAACTGAAGTCATGTCCAATCTGCGTATAATGGCACGCCGCGAACACTTTCGCATGATACGCGTTGGTATAACACCAATATTCTTCTTGGGTTTATTCGCAACAGTGGTCCGTAACAGCACATATCAATACGCATATCACAACGCATTCTTGTCAAACAATCGCCAGGATGTACTACAACCCCGCGCCATCTTGTTTTGTGGCATCGTCGGCACAATATCGCAGTTAATTATGAATCCTTTCAATATCATGAAGACAAAACTTCAATATTGGGTGATGTGTGAAAACACAGACACTAATAAAGCAATGAAAGGTATCAACATGTTTAAAATAGGAAAGATTTTATATAAAAAATTAGGTGTGAGTATTTACTATTCACAGTTTTTCGTAATAAAAATTTAAATCATTATTATTTTTCAGTGGAAAATCTTTAGAGTAGGTTGGAGTTGTTGCATCTATCGAGGATTTCTAGCTAACGTTGTACAAATGATCACTTACAATGCTGTCCTGCTAGAAGTGGGATCATATGAATCGAAGTATTTTAATTTAACACAAACTGAATGGGATTTTGTGCGGGTTACCGCCGCTTTGGCGTCTGGATTTATAAGCACAGTGTGTGTTTCACCGTTTGATGTCATTCTTACAAGGTTACATACACAACGTAAGTAGGGTTGCCTATATTAAACCTAAATACATTTTTAGGTTATGTTAGGTTAGTTTTGCAGAAATACATGTAATTTGAAGATTTTGATTTTAGCTTATATGATTAACATGCGAGGATTATTCTACGCGAATTTCCGTGATGCATGTTATAAAGTCACTCACATCGAAGGATATTCTGCACTATATAAAGGTTCTTTCTTTCTCTGGGCTCGACATGGCGTTGTGGCCACCACAAACATGCTCTTCTGGGATCAGTGGAAGGATCGCGTTTTGATTAACGTTCAGAAAAAGAATGACAAAGCGTTTGTGGAACAGTATTTCGTGCAGTATTGTTTTGATAGCATGGATATGTTTTAATAAGGTTGAAGTCCAAGCAGCCAAGGTAACATTTAATTACTTTAATTCATAAAATACATGTATGAGTAATTTATGACTGATGAAAGTGTTTTAGACCAATGCTAATGTGTGAGATTAATTTCTACGACCGATTACAACATTTTGTGTTAATATGAGTGAAAATAAAAGTTGTTATCAGCTATGATAGACGTAAGTAAACAAATCAAACACTTGGAATTTTTGATGAATGGAATAATTCGGAAAGCAAAAGTTTACACGCTGATAATCATAATGTTGGATTATTTTCGTAATTATTCTCATGAATATATAGAAATAATATTTTTTTGTAATGGAACATGTGGATGTGACATGTTAATAAGCCGAATTCCATGTCGAGATACGCACGCACCGCAGAGAACGTATAAATGAGTTTATTTATAGCCGGAAAACGCTCCCGAAACGCAACTCATGCAACGCGTACATCGCGCACACACGATTAGTATTCGATTCGATTTTCAGCTGAGTAGTAGCATTACCCATACTAACACTCATAGACAACTCAAAGTTTCTTTTTTTTATTTCTACGATTTTGTCTAATTTACTCACCATAAACAGTTGCGTTAACGCGTATTTAATTGAGTTGTTGAGAACGGAATAATATGGGCAACAGCTGATCGGAAACGTTCTGTGTGGCGGTCGCGAAACGGGGTGGGACTGGTGGGAGAGCAGAGTAAATGCGTTGTGCGGTACTCGATGTGAAACACGAGTGGTTGTCACGCGCCGGCTTGGAATACGAGAAAAACGCTGGGTGATAAACGTTGGTTGGGATTGTTGATTGGCCACGAAGTAAATTTGCGAAGTGAGAGGCAAGGATACCGAAGACTTGCTGATACATATGAGGGGTGAGTTTCAGTTAATGTGAGGTTATGTTTGTTAGATGTACTACCTGTAATTATACTGGGTATTTAGAAAACATTGAAACTTTCAAAAAGTAAATCATTAATTTTTTTAAATTAAAAATTGATTTTTAAATGTAAAAATATTATTTTATACTTTAAAATGATTAAAACTATTTTCAATTTAAAATATTGCAAGTCATTACTCTGATTCTGAAAAAAACAAATAAATTAATTAAATAATTATTATGAATCTAAATTTGCTCAAAAGTTAAAAAATCATAAAATATTAATAAATGTCATAAAATGGAAGCTTTTAGAAGTGTTAACTTGTTTAACTGACTGCGCATGCGAAATGCGCAGACATAAGCTCCACCCCATGACTAAAACTCGTGACTAAAGTACTTTAATCACTTTTTGGCTGTCCCTGTTTAAAATAACACACTTTTTAATCAAAAAACCGTGAAATTTTTTTTAAAATCTTGAAACTTAAAAGACGAAGATAGAAAAAATGATTTTTATATTGTGAAATGTGAAAATACCATGAAAAATACCCCAAATAAACCTAAATATCCTCTAGTATTCCATTCTGACACATCTTCTCGTACACCCGCTAAAAATACCAATAATTAATCGTTGCCTTTTAGATTCAGCAAGCACGATCGAAATACACGTTCGGCACGAGTCCAACACGGCGTGACGTACCAATCAACACCGAAAATGATCCCATCAATACCCAAATCTATCCTTATACTCTAATCAAATCAAAAACCAATAATAAACATTTACCTATAAATTTTCTACTCCTTATTATTTCTCTACTCTCCACCCTATAATCCCAACACAACATGGATTTCTTCATCGGTGGATTATCTGCAGCCGGTGCCTCCTTATTCAGTAATCCTTTAGATGTTCTCAAAACACGTATGCAACTGCAAGGCGAATTGCAAGCCCGTGGCCAACATGCAGTCCACTACCGGAATGTCTTCCATGCGGCAGTGGTAGTGGTAAAAAACGACGGTGTTTCCGGCCTGCAGAAGGGACTAGGCGCCGCCATCTTTATGCACTTTATACGCAACTCAATACGATTAGGCAGTTATCAGTATTTAGTCAAACAGGGTATGGTGACAGATGATCGGGGAAAGACTATTTTTTGGCGCAGTGCATTGGCATCAGCAGCAACAGGCGCAGCGGGTGCTTTCTTTGGAAGTCCATTGTTTTTGATTAAGACACAATTGCAGAGTCAAGCAGCGAAACAAATCGCTGTGGGGCATCAGCATCATCATACGGGGACACTTGTTGCGTTGAAACAGATTTATCATACTTACGGAGTAAGTAAAAATGATTTTTTTTTTTTTTTTTTATTCAAAAATATCAAATTTCAAGTTCATTACCTTTGATTTTGAGGTTAATGCGTTCATGTTCTTTGATATGTATTTTTAACCACTTGAAAACAAAATGTTTGCCAAAATTAACAAATTTTGATGTTTTTTCTGTTTCAGGTTAAAGGACTTTGGCGTGGTGGCTATGGAACAATGCTCCGTGCGGTTTTCGGGTCATCTGCGCAACTCACCTCCTTCGCCATGTCAAAAGACGTTCTCAGCCAATACGATTTGTTTAAATCCTCACCGCTGCTCACGTCGTTTGTCGCTTCAGTCATGGGCGGATTCTTTCAAACTGCGATGATAACACCTTTTGATTTAATTTCCACACGGATATACAATCAACGTAAGAGTTAAAACATTAAAAATAGGTTATGTTTCTCACGATTTAGTATTAACTTGTTTATATTTGGTTATAGCTGTGGATATTAATGGGAAAGGCTTATTATACACCGGAATCATCGATTGTTTCGTCAAAATATGGCGGACGGAAGGTGTGCTTGGTTTTTACAAAGGAGTCGGCGCGATATACATGCGATTGGCACCACATGGCGCCCTCTGTCTTGTCTTTTGGGACCTATTGAAAGATGCGCAGAGTAAATATATACAATGACAGGCGCATTACACGCCATTTTGATATTTGTATAACAAATTAATTGCCAAGATGTGATCGCCATTTTTGTACTTAGAAATCATCCAAAACGAAAAAAGAGTAGCAATAAGTGAAATTATAAAAAATATATTTAATATTACGATTTTAAGGTTAGTTTTCATGTAACCTCGCATAATCTAAGCTGGATTTAGATAAAATTATTACCTTTGCATAATAAGTTGCATAACTCAAGTTTTTATCTGATTTTTTTAAGATTAGAGAAATTTTCCCGATGATGTCATTGTTTAAGTCACCGTATACGCAGCCAACGCCACAGGTAGTCGTGTGGACGTTGCGGTAGTTGTCGGACGACCTGTCGGAGTGTTGTTGCGTTGTTGGTCATTGCGCGCGCGCAACTGACTTATCACACACTGCTGCTCACTAAGCTCATACTCTCACACAGCCGGAGCCCAGTCGCGCGGACTCTGACTGCGGCCAGTGGCGCTGCTTAGACGCGTACGCATTCGTAATTCACATTATAAAGTTCATTGACATGTTCTTCGCCGCTGTGGCCGCGCGATTAGAATACCCAACATGCGTTACATCTGTTCGCCGCGCCACTCGTGCCTGTATTGTTCGCGATAGTCGACCAGCAGGCGAATAAAACGCATGCACACACCTCCGGAGTGCCGAGCGAGTGCTGGAGTCGTATCTTGTGGATGGTGGAGGTAAGAATTGCAACGCAATTGCATTCCACGCACATGGGTTTGGCATCGCAACAACAAAATATGGTAACGTGAACATCTATGTCATTAATATGATTTTATAATTAATTTTGATGGTTTTAGATGGGTTACCTGTTGAATCTGTGTACGAATCGTCACAATCTTGCCTTGAGATAAACCAACAAGCGTATTATCATCAGCAGCATCATGCATGAGTTATTCCAGCAGGTTTTGAAGAATAGAGACTTGTCTCGAGCTGGTGACCTTTTCTCTGTTAGGGATAGTGTTATTGTGAATGATCTTACTGAAGTGGTAAGTCTACTTAACATTTTTTAAGTTTTCTCTTAAAATTTAATTTTTAATTTGTTAAATTTTTAGTTGAAAGAGATAACAGCGATAGCTTCTCTTGCTGATTATGCTCAGAACAACAATGATCAATCAGTGGTGGAAATATGTGTGACAAGAGTGATTTCATGCATTCGGGAGACTGGCAGTGTTGAGCAGCATTGCGATGCACTTGTCACTCTTCTGGAGTCTTGCCTGCATCACAATTTACAGATCTCTGCACGTGGCGAGGATCCACCACATGCGAAAATCTCATCGGATTTGATTTCATGCATTTTTCTTGTAAGTTAAATATATAAAAACCACAAAACTTAATGTTTTGACTTAAAATTTTAATTTTTTTTAGAATTATAGTAAAAAGTCAGTGATGCAACGTGCATTACCAATCGCTGTCAAGTTTCTGCACAAAGGAAATAAGGAATTATCAAGGAATATGGCAAGTTACTTATCTCTGGCTGCTATTGAGCATGCGTCGTTGTTAAGTCCGCATGTACAGCCGATTATGGACTCGATTATATCAGGCAACTACCCGTTGTGTAGGGTGTTGAGTCAGATCTATGAAGTGTCGCCGGAGTTATTGCAAGGCCACGCGATGGCGCTGGTGTCGCTCTTGTCACACTGCGATAATCAAGAGAAATTAGCACTTTTGCATTTGTTTTCATTGATTGCCAAGGATAATCCAAGTGTAAGCTATTAAACCTCAAATTTTATATTGATGAATAATGTGTTTTTAATATTTTTAGTTATTGGAGGCTAGCATTCCGCAACTATGTGAATATCTAAACAATTCGTTAACTGCAAGTCAAACACTTCAGGTTTTTTTAAATATGGCGGAGAAAAAACCTGCCCTGTTGGCGGATCATGTGAATGCTGTGAAGCAAGCTGCGCAAAGACATCCACAGACATTATGTTTAGCTGCTCAGGTTATTGGTGCCATTGGAAAATTAAGCAAAGTAAGTTTTTGCTTTAAACTTAATGATTTACTTCTAATAAATATTTAAATGCAGGCTAGAGCTCAGGATGCGTTGAACTTCGTCCTGGAATACTTGCCAAAAGCTGACAGAGGCTCCCAAAGCACTCTTCTACGAGAAGCCACCCTCTTGTGCAGTTCATACCCTGTGTTATTCACTTTATTCACTGATAAAGTCTTGGCTGGTGTACGAAAACAACCCACTTCCAACCACCAAGTCAATCAACAACTCACGCCATCTACACCTACAGCACCAACCACAAATTCTGTCACATCCGGAGGCGTAACCATTGTCAAAGTAGGCGGGCAAGCACCAATTACAACCACGCCACAAGGCGGATACACACGACGCGCTAAACTCGGAGATTCACGCAGTACCGGCCGCCTTCACACCGCAACTAATACAAATACACACCGCAGCATGACACGACTTAATATCGCTGGAGGTTCGGTGGGTGGCCTACATAAAAGCATGACACGTTTAAGCTCCTCGCAACAAATCAACGCTATACCGACAAGTGGCGCCACCAACAACACACACAATGTTACAATCGGTGGTAATTTACCGCCTCCACCGCCTCATAAATGGACCGTACCGAAAGTACTCAGTGGCGGTGTAACTGTAACAACTATTTCCCAACCACGCATGTCACGCCCGCTAAGTCAAGGCCCGCTGCTACACAACGTCACACCTACTCCATCATCACACGTAACCATCACTTCCACTGCCGATTCAAAAAACGGCAACGGACCAACCAATAGCACCATCACAGTGAATTCTGTATACAGCGGTGGGCAGGTCAATGTATTAACCACGCCCACACATCAGGAATCTGTGAATGTGACTGGTCCCAGCACAGTTACATCACGAAGAAATAACAATACTTCTGTTACACTCTTGAATGTCAATCCGACATCACAGAGAATGAGTGTGTTTGAACCGTATCCAATGCGTGATACCATTCAACACTTCTGTGAGAAACATTTAGACAAAATTAAAACTTACATGGATAAAGTTTCCATGCGGATACCTCCTCCAGCAAAATGCACGATAGAAGAGAAGCGTCAGAAGAAGTCAGCGAAGTTACATTTTGGTTGTCAAGCCAGAGGGCAGCACTGTCTGTACTCAAAGACTTTCTTCACGATGCGCACGCGGAATCCCAGGATATGGATACATTTGATGTTTATTGCTTTGCAGGCAAAGTCTCCGCATGCGCTGAGTTCGAGAGATGTGAGTGTTACAAGTCTGAAGCACTGTTGGGATATGTTAAAGTGCGAAAATAAGACTTTTTTGACTCTGGTCACGAGCGCATTTCCATGCTCGAAGGATCAAGACACGTTGTTGAATGAACTCAGGCATAGCGGTTTCTTCGATGTGTTTCAATTAACAACCGGATTGAATGTCTCTGAAGAGCAGTTGAATAGTGACCAGCCGCTTTGGGGATGTTTCTTATGCACGCATCCGGAACGCGCTGTTGGTTTCTTAAGAGGTGACACAGCGCCTGTCATTGAAGGGCAGTTGAAAGAGAAGAAAGGCCGATGGAGATTATTCCGAAGATGGCGGACGAGGTATTTCACTTTGAGTGGCGCGCATTTGTCTTGTAGAGGCTCTGTAAGTATTTTTAACGCCATTGGATTAAAATAATTTGTCTAATTATGTTTTATGTTAATTAATGTATATAGAGCGGTGGTGAAAGTATAGATGTGAACCAAATTCGCTCTGTGAAAGTCTCACGCGGCGCGCGCAACATTCCCAAGGCTTTTGAGATCTTCACCGGCAACCAGACGCTCATCCTCAAGCCGAAAGATGGGAAAAACGCCGAGGAATGGGTGCAGTGTCTCAGTATCGTCGTCGCACACTCGCACGCCAAGGAGTTGCCCGGCAAGAGTAATTCACTGCCGGCACGCGGCATCAGTGCTAGTCGAACCGCCATTTAAATCACAACTGTACATATCAAACAAAGCACACAAAATCAGTACTTAACAATCTTTCTCTAACAAAAATGTGGAGTAGAGCGCCCTCTACACGTATTCAAAGTGAATCTAAATGACAACTGGTGGCGGTTAAGATGGCGTCTTTCATGAAGTGATTACAAACTGTTGCACGCATCGCTTAAAATCGTTATAATGCAATATTTTGACAGTTCCATCACTGAACTACATTCCATTTCCGATATTCTTTACATATCATATTATACATATTATTTTTGTATATTGTTATCAAGTTGAGTGTTTTATTTTATATCAAAAACGTGTATTATCAAGAATTTTTTTTAATCCACACCGATTCCGTCGCACAATATCATTATTATTTTTGTTAAAAAAGTATATAATATATTTTTACTAAAAAAGAGCTTACTACGTTCCAAAAGAAAATCTAAAGAAAGAGAAACGCATCCAAACAACAATCGGACATTAATTACGAACTAAAAATTAATGCGACAATACTCGCGCCGAGTGCGTGCGTGTGTGTTAAGATTACAATTACAATAATTGATAACATTACAATTAAAAAAAAGAAGAGGACAATTTTCACCACGTTTGCAATTGCTGAACGAATCCGTCATTGGGTCGGATTGAAGGGCGAGCTTGCTTAACGTGCGCATGCGCTGCATGAAATGTCATCCCATGGCGTCGAATAAGATATGCGATTACAATGGCCGGCGAACGCGACACGCCGGCATTGCAATGCACCAAAACATTTCTCTGAAGTGTAATAGCAGCGTCAATGAACTCGAAAGCTTCGTGTAAAACTGTAGCCAGGGATGTTTCCGGTAGATCTAGGCACGCGAGGTGTTTGTTAACAATTTTCCTGTCATTATTTGATTTTAATTCCGGTAGAGTTATCCCCACGCTGAGAACGTGGGTGATGTCATATTCTTCGAGGACACTAATGTCCGCAGCGTCTTGTGATCCTAAGTAAAGATAATTCAGAATTTTCGCCGGTATTTTATCCGGTTTCGTGTCAACAACAAAACCGTAATTCGTGGTTGTCAACTGCGTTGTTCTCGTGCCTTCCTCAATGAATTGCTTGCCTTGCGCAGTAGTTACTAGCGTAGCAGTTGGTATCAACTGCGATTTCTTCTTCCTGAGCCCCTCGAGAAGACTCATCGTACAAATGTGTGAAAATGTGTTTTATTTTCGCTGTTTCCGCCCTTCGAATGCCTTAATTATGAAACAAAAATGTATAAAAATATGATTACTAGTTAAAAAGATGTGGAAGTACAAGTCGAGTGTTGAGTGCGCTGCCCTAATCGCGAGATCTTGACCGTGAGCGACTCGGTGAGCGCGACCTGGACCGACTCGGCGAACGAGACCGCGACTTCGATCGACTCTTCTCGTTGCGCGTCCGATCCGCGCTCCTCGAACGCGATCGGGAACGTTCGTCGCGCTCGTCTCTCCTCGGCGATCTCGACTTTGACTTCGAGCGACTTCTGCGCTCTTCGCTCTTCGGCCGCGAGTGCGATCGGCGTTCCGGCGAGCGTGATCGACGCTCCTCCTTGTTGTTTCTTGAATTCGAGCGACTTCTCTCCCGTCGTTCGACTGATTTCTTCCTGGATGCGCTGCGCGACTTGGACTTTTTCGGCGAACGTGACCTGGAACTGCTGCGGGACTTTCTCGCAGGCGACCTACTCCGGGATCTACTGCTGTAGGAACTGCTACGACTGCTTTGGCGCTTATCCTCGACCAACTTGATTTTTCTTCCGTTGATTTCGGAGTTGTCCAAGGTGTCCAACGCGTTTTTCATATCCGCGCTGGATGCAAACTCCACCACACCTTCATTACGATGCTTTTTATGCGCGTCGGCATATGTTACCTCACCAGCCTGTCGCATATAATCCTTCAGATCCTGCCAGGATACTCGCGATGATAAATTCTCGACTATCAGTCGGTATGCGGTGCGCGTTGGTGGACCATAACGATCATTCCTGCCTCGATAATCCCGACTGGGATAGTCTCTATCCCGTGAGGAGTATTGATCTCTACCACGCGGCGTGCCTTTGGCTTTCTCAACGGTAACGCGTACGCCGAGGAGTTTCTTGCCGTTGAGCTCATACACGGCGTCTTCGGCATCGCGCCGATCGTCGAACTCGACGAAACCGTAGCCATTTTTCAGCAGCACCTCGCGCATGCGTCCGTAACCACGGAAAAAGCGCTCCAGGTCGCGCTCGTTCGCGTCGCTCGGCAGATTGCCGACAAACACACGGGTGCCTACCATTCTTGAAACGTGGAGATGTCTTCAGGCGTGTAATTTACGCGCGCTAGGTATAAACCAGACGCCGGTACCGTCTTCAAACGTGGGTCCCAACTGCGGTGTGAGGGGATTGTAAGCATCCGCTCGATCTCGACTTCGGTGACTTTGCCTTCTGCTGCAGCCAATACAGCAGCTAACATGCGTCGGACCTAAAAATTAATACAAAATCAATATAATACTATAAGAAACTGAATGAAAAAATGCTATACAAGTGTAAATCATGAAATCAATAGAATATGTATGTGATGTAGCGTTACAAAGCGTAAAATTTGAATGTTTTAAAACTGTACGTGGAAAGCCGCCATTTTTTCAGGTTATGTTAGAGAAAAACGTGACCGATTTACACAAAATACGCGAGGGATTATTAAGTACCGCGGTTGGATGAGGATGAATATAAAATGCTTACGTTTTGTTAAGTTTTTAAACCTTCTGGAGTTGATTCAAGCGGAAAATGCGGTGGAAACGTCTCGCAACTGCCACAACAAATCGGCGCTAAACCACCACCGTTGACACAAACACAACGCAACTGATAAACGCCGACGCTAGCGACATCTACGTCCGTTTCCGTTTAGTACATACCGCCACCATTAGAGGCGCCGCTTTAAACATTCAAATTCAAATAATTCGCGTGAAAGACTGGTAAAACTAACCTGCCGATATAAAAATCCAGAAGATTCAATCACTACATCAATGTGCGTACAAGAATCCACCTCTCTCATCCACGTATCTGGAATGCTAAACGTTGAGTATAGTTTGTTACTGTTTTCGATTGCTTCAAAGCGAGTTATCACTCGGCGAGTGATTTTATCAGGTTTGAGAGGTGCTTTTGCCATAAATGTGCGAAAATCATGATGACCCGTAAATAATTTCGTAGCAGATTTGAACTTTTCAATGTCAAACCTTGTGGAACTAGAAATAAAATAAAATAAGAAATATGTATCACCATAGGCAACCAACAATACACCACACACCACACAAAAACAAATACAATTTATCATCACTTACCAGAAATAATAAGCGCGATTCAAATCTTCAATAGGTATGTGACATGCCAAAGTATTAAACTCACTGTTAATCACCACCAGGCGGTATAAATAAGTTCTGCTAACTGCATATCTGCAGTGAAAGTCATTTGGCACACCATATGTGCTCAGAATACGAATTGGTAAACTATTATTCATGAAATATTTGTTCAATTGATATGTTAAACCTCTTGTGGAATATGGTTCACCATTTAGCCTCTCCAAATCAGTATGCATTGTTGTGTGCAAGGCATGGACTCCACTATCAGTTCTAAAATGAATATTTCATGTTACAATCATGCTACAGACACAAAAATAAGTGTTGTCAGTACCTGCTAGATGTTGTAACTACAATTTGATTTATTGGTTGGAAATTCTTCAAAGCTATTTCAATATTTCCTTGAATGGTTGTGTTATCATCACCTATTTTAACTTGACGTTGAGCACCTCTAAAAATCATTTAATTTAGAAGAAGAAAGAAAAGTTTTGACAAAAATTACCTAAATGGTGTACCAATATATGAGAGATTAAATAAGTAACGATACATTCTAGACATTGTTTATAGTGTATAACAATTATTTAAAAATAATAAGTGCATGTGAAACATACAAAAAGCAAGGTTAAGATCGGTTTTAAAAATCTTTAGCAAAACTAGGTGTAATGTGGGTTGCCTATGATAAGTGTTAGATTCGTTTGGGATCGTGAGTAGTCGTTTATTCGACCATCTTACAACCATTTTTGTTTTTATTTTGAAATTGGTTTATTTATTAAAGTAATAATAAGATATTCAAACTATAAATGACTAAAACCAACTTAAATAAACATTTTCTTTAACATATATCGGAAACAAACGTCGTGGACGATTGTAGAATGTATTCTTTCACAAATGCAGATAAATTTAATATTTTTACGGTCTGCAGTAGCCTACAGACAGTTTCATGCAGGTAATAACCGCCCAACGCATGCTTGGATGCGTTCGCGGTCGAAGCGCTTGCAACCGCTTGCAATCTGGGGTCGAACTCGTCGAACTCGGTCGCTGCGGTGCGTTTACGCTCGGAAAAAGTGGCAGCAGCGTCTGGCCGCGTCTGCGTGCCGCGTGCGTCCGTCCGCGCTCAGTCTGATTCAGTCAGCCGGTTGTCGGTGTTCGCCGTCTGCGACTCCACCGCACACACAGTGCACACACGACGCTCGACCTCGTCGCGAGCGGCTGATGCGCATCGTAAATACCGCACGCAGCTTCGCCGGTTTCTCGTGGTTAGTGGTTAATTTTAGCCCAGCTCGCGCGCGGGCACAACGCCGCTAGAAAACTGCGCGGCGAATTTCTTGCTCGGAAATCGCCACAGCGCAACGTGAAAGTTAAAACTCTCCAAAAATAACAACATTCACCAAAACAAAACACTAATAAACTAATTCATCGAGGTGAGTGTATTTATTTTACACAAAACAATGAATAAAAACAATCCGAAGTTGGAACTTGAACTCACAGTGCAATATCAGGATATCTTCAGCGCGGGACGATGATAAGGAGTAGATTGGTGCGTGTGTGAATTGGGTTGCATATCAATTTGTGATTGGCAAGGACATATCATGTTGGGGGTGCTGAAACGACGTCTCAAGCCCAAACGGTAAGCATTACGACATAATTCCACACGCAGTGCATTTTATCGATTGCGCCGAGAGTGTCCGGACGAAGATACAGCTGTTCCAAGTACATTCGCACCGGTTTTTCAGTCGTGTTACTCGCGTTGCAATATTGATTCGCTCGAAGTGGAATAGAATTTGCTCCAATTGCACAATCATACACACAAAATAAAAACTAAACATCGAGTAAGTCATAACACTTCACTTCAACAAATATTTGCTAAACTAAACTAAAGTAAACTAAACTAAACTGAATTTATAGTTTATATTTTCTCACTTGGGGAAATTTCATGGCGTCATTGATTGTCAATTGTCAAGGTCAAGTTAATATTGACAGTTATTCTTGCATTTTGCATCGTTTTTGTTGTGTAGAAATTATTCGTGCACATCTTGATGCTTTGCACGGACGTTTATTGATCCGCAGTTTCCTCTACAGCCCTCTGGTTCACCCTCACGCGTTGTGACGGTGACGTTTCATCTCGTTGCCACCCCCGTGTTGTATTTTATAGCTTCCTGAATGCAAGCGGAAAGTTTTCGACTTGAAACATTCAAATGTATTCGTTTAATTTTGTTTTTCGGCAATTTATCAGCTGATTTACTCATTAATGTCGTGTGGTATTTACATACATCGTTTATTCAATGATTAGCTTATCATTTTAGCTTCAATGAAACACTTGGAGAGGAATTAATTTTATTTTACGCGTAAAATGTTTATTTTTTTGGTCTAAATTTGTATTTTTTATTTCATTGACTTTGAAATCATTCAGATATTTTTATTACCTTGACATGTTCGGTTTGTATTTGTAAAAATTTTCTTCTTGTCTTTTTGTCTTTGTTTTGACCTTCTTCCTGTGATTTCTCTATTTATTTCTCCATTCGTTGATTTTTTCATTACTTTATTGTCCTGTCTCCTGTCTGTTTAAACTTTTAAAAAGCGTGTTGATGTCGAGTGTTTTGACTTGTTGGCTTTTAACTTTCAACGACTTTTTCCTCCTTCGCGCATTTTCTTTTCAGTAACTTTGTGTTTAACGCAGCGAGCGTCATCTGGTTGTGTTCATGTGTTCATGTTCGCGTGTCGCGAATCGGCGACAGGTTAATATCGCTGACAACGAATCTCGAACCGGACCGTTGCAATCGATTCGTTCCGGTCGTTTCGCGAACACGTTCGTAATTTAATGCCGTCGCGTGGATCGCTTGCAAAAGGTGCCAACATATGCCCAAGGGCGTGCAAATCGAATAAATCAAAATATAAGTATATTATCTTCACGCGAAGAAAATAAACTGATTTTAAAATTTAGTCAAAATTTATTTTGAAATCAAATTTCTACAAAGCATCAGTTTTTCTACGGTTTTTAGACACAAAAAGTGTTATTTTATATAGGAATGGCCAAGCCGTGAGTAATATCCATTATCTACGGGTATTATTTACGGGACGGAGCTTGCGCATGCGTATTTATCTACAGAGCAGCACAAGACCGTATGAAATGCCATGCGACGTCAGTCAAACACGTCAAAACAGGCGCTGCTGCTGCTCGTGTCGAAGCGGCGCGATATGGCCCGACGCGTCACATGACCCAGCGTGCAGTATGGTATTTATAACCTTACATTTTGTAGTAGTGTGCGAGCAAATTTCGATGATTTAAAATAAAAAGTTGAAATAAAAAACTCAACGTAAAACTAGAGTGGAAGTAGAAAAAATAGCGTAAGCATCACGTGACTAAACGTTGTTAAATCGATTAATCAATCTCGTGAGTAAAGTCCCCGTTTAGCCACTTGATACTTAATAATACAAAATTTAGTCAAATTTACTTTGAATTCAACACGTGACCCACTTTATTATTATCACCAAAAGTCTAATTGTTTACTCCTTCAGTACTTTAGAAGTTAACGTTAATTTAAGCTTGTAAATTGACGTACATAGGCGTCAAAGTCGTTTGTGCGCACAGAAAACCAAAAACGCAACGACCCAGTTAATTCCCGCGCCCCGTTACACGTAAACAAGCACAATGCACGATTTACAATAAATTCAAATGTTCATGTCTCATACAACCCACAATACCGCTTTACACCGCGATTATCGGAACGCAGTGCGTTATCGTCCTTTTGTTGTTTTACTTTATTTCATTTGTTGGTTACATTATCATTAACAATGTGACAATGTGACTGGCACGCGTTGATGTTGATTGTGTCATTTAGGACTTGTATGCAGAGTGCAGACATGATAATATTGATGTTCATATTGAACGATTTATTACAGTATTGTATTTTGTATTAATCGTCACTTAACGTAATTAAATGATGATTCTTTGTGTGAATTTGTGATTGTTCAATTATTCAATGAAAATTCATCAAATACCAAAGAAGGAGCGTTTTGTGAATGTGTGCATTTGACTCATTCAATGAAATATGGTTTATACTGTGTGTTTGCATAAGAAAATCGTAAAGTTAGTTACACCGCGTATAACTCACGAACCGTTGGACTGATTTTAATAATCTATGATTTTTTTGATTCTTTATGCTTTGGAATAAGCGAATAAATATTAAAATATTAAAAATTATAATTTACAGGGTGTTAAATAAGCGTTTAAAGTTAAAAAGTCATTTTTTGCATTTTTTATTACAAAAAATTAAAATTACGTTTATAACACCCTGTATAAATTATTTTGGAGGTGGTATGTATTCTTCGGCGTGGGTAGAGTTTCATCGGATGCACACACCTGCACAATTTCTAGGATTGCCGTGAAATGCGCGCGACGCGCGCTGAATGTCGTCGTTGCGTTCGCCGCCTGCATTTGCATTTAATTACCGTGACATTTATAAACATTTAACAAACGTTTGTTGTATGCTATCCATTTATATGACTTATACTTGCATATTGGGAAGTCGTGTGTGGGTATGATAATTAACAAGTCGTTTCTTAGACATTTGCGACTTCAGTCGGTGTTACTAAAATTATGGTCAAAACCACCTTCTAATGGTTAAAAATTAATTAATTTCTTAGGTTGACCTCATTCTTGACCAATTATTTTCGTTTCCAATTAGATTTGCACCATAAAAGGACTTTTGCTGTGTATCCGCGGTTTTGTCTTTCGAAATTAACAATATCTCCATCGAAGGCAGGTGTTACTAATTTCGGACTGTGGAGTATTATACCAAACACTTTGAATCTGAAAATGAGAGCGTCGGCGAAGCAAGGAGAGTGAGAATCGACCGAAAAAAGAACAATGAGACAATTTCTAAACGGGATTGGCCCCGAATATCGGAACAGATGATATATTCATGCACATCGGTCGTGGTTAGGATGGTAATAATAGTCACAACACACGGCGCAGCGTTCGCTGGGTTGTTGCTTGTTGGATTGTTGCTGGATTGCTATAAAAGGCATACGATTATCCCATGCCCACTTTGATTATTACAATAATTATAGGCTTGCGAACAGGCAGGCGCTCATGTACCAGCACAAACACTCAGACTAGTTAAATTAAACTGAAGCTGAGGTTATGATATGATTCCTGGGAAAATATAGGGTTACCAAAAGTTTTACTTTGGATTTTTTTCTTCTTGTCTTTAAAATTACATTTTTTTTGATAAATTTAAGAGAAAATGGTTAAAATAATTTAATACACATAGAAATATCCGAAAATAGTATTTTAAGTATCAAATTCCATCCTGTGACTAAAACCCGTGACTAAAGTACTTTTTGACCGCCTGTGTTTAAAACATCACTTTTTCTGCCTCAAAATCGTAGGAAAACTGTCGATTTAAAGACGAAAGTAGAAAAAATATTTTTGTTGATTAATTGTTGACAAAAATCACAATTTTTTAATTATTTTTTATCCAAAAATCTCGTTTTTCTTGCAAATAATTTGGTAACCCTGAAATTAAATTATATTAGAAAATAATTTCCTCGTAAAATTTTCTAGATGATCATCAACGCGTTAAAAATGCATAATTTTTTTCAAAATTAACATAATTTAAATTCATGCATAATGAACAAATTGATAACGGGACTCATAATTCAATGCAAAATATAAGAAAGTTTTATCTGCGCACCGCCAACAATAATAACATCAACCGTAAAGCTGTTGTAATTGTTGATTTCAACTTTAATAGTGCGATTGTTTATTGATTGCTTATTGTTTTGAGCTATAATTTATGCTTTTCCTATTTTTGTTTGATTTGATTTGATTTGATTCTGATTTTTTATTATTGAAGAGAAAGGAATAAAGTTCAGCAAGTCATTTCATTTCGGTTCTGTGTGTTTAGTCATTCGTTTTGGACTCCATTTTATACTTCCGTTTTAATTCGATGGGAAATAAAACAAAAGTGAAGCAAAACTAAATGCACAAAAACAAAACAAAAGCCAATGCGGTCATGGGAAGATTCACGAATGGGTTTGGAAAATAAAAACTTTTTATTTGATGTTTTAATGAATGGCTATCAATAGATTTATTTAAAATTTAAACAGTGCGAGTCGAATGAGTATAATTAGGTAATTCGTGAGATTTCTAACTATTTTATGCATTAGATTAATTAATTAATTAAAATTGGTATGGTTTATGTGTCTAGAGCTATTAGTATATGGCCAACATTAAATTACCTGTTTAGAAGTATAATGGAAATCATTTATTAGCATTTACAACTAATTATGACGCCAGACAAGCGGTTAAAAACAAGAAATAAATAAAACCAGTTAAATATGTTAAATATTTTTCATAATATTTACAAAAAATACTAAAACTTTTTTTTTATTGGAAATATTTATAAAACACTAGTTGTTGCCCGCGACTTCGTTCCGGCAGTGTTTAATAAAAATGTAATTCGTTTTTACTCTCTTGTTCTAGACATACTCGTAGTATGTGTCAATTCTATCAATAAGATTAGCAATTTTAATTTAAAGAAATTATGCATATAAAGTTTTGTCAATAATGCACTTCAGCGCGCCATCTCGAATTCAACTATTTAACTATAACTATGATTGAAT